TGTCTAAATAGCTCTATGCCCCCTCTTTATCTTGAGAGCCTCCATGCCTGAATCCTGTATCTCACCTGCCGTGAATCACAAATGCAAATTTATCAGGTGTTTATGGATCCTTTCTTTTTGCATCAAAATGACCACAGACATTCATGCCTGTTATTATGGGTCCAGCTTGTTTATCTATCTGCCTTTTTTACTACTCTTTGTTCCTGATAATGCTTACTTAATATATTCTTCTCAGAGGACTTAAATCCTAGAAGATGCCTTCAGTTATTTTGGGTCCCCTTATGTGGCACTTTCTTTCTGCTGATCTTCATGAAATGATTTTAAAAAAAATCATGGTGTCTCGACTTATTCCAATTCTGCTATGATTTTTTTAGCCTTCAAATTGTATTTGACTATGCATTTCCATCACTTTCAGCTTCTGGCCTCATCACTTGCCATATTACCTCTAAGACTTCAGTATAGTCTGGAGGAACCTAACTCATCCTCCTGGCAGTAGCTTCAACGATGGACAAAGTCACATTTTTGGAAATCCGCATCAAAACCAATTAGGAGTGGAAAGAATAAACGTAGTGTTCAAAAACTGGCCAATGAAAAAATTGTCAATGGATCTAGTCATTCTACATTGGAGTATGAGAAAAACAAAAGAGGTCTGAGGAGAGTTTCTGACAACTCAGCAGTTGATTCAGTTCGGCAACATCCACAAAATGAGCTTGAGAGGGTTAAGCGCAATTTAAGAAAGCTTTCTGAATCTTCAAAGGAGGTTTCTGATTAGTCTGATGTTGTTAATGATAAAACAAAGACCCTGAATAAACCTTCTAGTTCTAATGGCCATGATGTTCCAGAACAGAAATATGCAGAGAAGATGAGGGATGTTCCGCAACACTATCAAAACTGTCAAATCTTGAGGCAGATCTGAAATTATCCTTGGAAGATGCTTCTCTTGATGATCCTAACATCTTTCCTGCAGTTGATTTTCCACCTGCCGAAAACAATGGTAAAATTGAGCAGACGCCAGTAACAGAGGAGTTAAGCTCTAAAGATGAGCAGGTCAGTGATGAGAGCTCAAAAGCAAACCAAAGGAGCTTCTTTCCACACAAAAATTGATAACCAGGAAAATGGGTTTAATAACAATCTAAAAGTTCCCAGTTATATGGCACCAACTGAATCTGTGAAAGCTAGACTTAGGGTTCAAGGCTCCCCAAGGTTTACCCATGAGGCTGTTGAGAAAGATGGGTTAAACAGACGACATTCTCTTCCATCTTCAACCAATATTAATACAAGTTCACTGTCCTCTCACTCTCAAACACGGGTTCGAGTCGCTGGTAAAGGTTCTATCTTCAGTGACAAATCTCATTCATCCTCTAAATTTGCTAATGGTATCGACAATTTGACTTTGGATGTTTTATGGCCTTGTGCTTGTTTTTGGTTTGCTGTATCAGTATTATCTATGAACATGCTTCTTAGTTTTTCCCCATTCTTTAAGTAGGATATGGAAATTGACTCCCATTGCTCTACATGAATTCATGTCTGCATGTGTAGTTAAACTTGCTCTTATGTGGTTGCTTTATGTAGTAATTAGCATGCAAATTTCACTTTGAGGATGATATCCAACTTGGATAGTCTTTTTCGTTTCCCATATTCAATTGAAGCAAGGTTCTCTCCCTGCCTGATTCCCTGTATGCTGCTTCCGCGTGATGACTATACGTAATTTTTTCTTTCAGATAAGGATGTCAGAGCTGAGCGGAGGAGGTAATTTTTACACAAGGAATTGTTTCATTGAAGTTCACATGGGTTCGAACTCGGATGCAACTTAATAGAAGTTGTGGTATGAGTTTTAAAATTCTGGTGACGGGTTGAATCAGAAATTAATCATCTAATCTTCTGTTGCTTGGTGTATCTTTAAGTTTCCTTTGTCATAGAAGTACCGCTGTGTAGATGGATAAATAATTTTAGATGTTGCAGTTGGTTATTTGGTTTGTTTTGGTTCTTATGTGTTTGTATGTATAATTCTTTGGATCCCCTTTTCACCCTTTTGTACCATTTGCAAAGCTGGCTCTCATAGATCTTGATGTATGCTCGGTTACTGTATGTATATTCTGAAAGGTTTACTGTACTGCATGACGGTAACTCGAATCTTGTCTCGGTGTGTTAGTAAATGTCTTGACATCAGAGGATGTTGAGGCACCTTGAACCCCCATTCTCTTCCAAATCATCAAAGGGCATAAAATCGGAGCATAATATATTTGAATTTCATCACGAGTCATGAATATTATCTCTACTATGACCAGGAACAAGACCTTGTTCTAACCTTACATTAAAGAGTTACAGTACGAAAGTAACGCAATGAGAATTTGAACAGTTAAGTGGAAAAGTTACCACAAATAATTGTGTTTTCTGACACGATCTCCCATTTTCCAGAGCAGAGAATCTTCTGCATTTGAATCAGTGAGCTTCTCTTTTCCTTGTTTCAATTTAGCAAGAAACGATAGGAGATATATAGTGAGCTTCTTATTCCTGATTGAAGGGTTATCCTTCACTGCATTATTGTTGATGAGCATCACTGCAGCTAGATGACTGTGATCATATAATATCGATGAAGAAACAAAAATAAAGCGTCCTCCTGGCTGCCATCATTATGGAATAATGGCTGAAACTGAGATTGCAGTCTATCTGTATAACAATACAATGGAACTCAAAAAAATGGCGATTGATCCACGTCCCGGATCATACAAAGGGTATGGAAGTTAAAGAAGCTTTTGCGAGTTGGACGAATATGCAAAGGCAGAGGGAGCATTGCCTAATCAATGTCAGGTGCCACCCAGAGTTCCCCCAAACACTTCAGTAGGGTCATCAAGAAGAGCAGACCCCAGTGAAGTGGTCAAGGGAACTCCAGAGGACACCTGACTCTATTTCTTCTTAGCAGTTAGATGATTAGGCAATAGAAAACAAACCTACGTATTTATAAATTATAAGTGGAGGCTCTCTATGTGCGTGTGCCAAAGTATTTGTGACCCTTCACCATATTCGACCGGCATTAGATATGAAACAAAATCAGCATGTGAAGTTCTCGAAACTGAATGTAGTCAGGATTATGGCGTTGGGGGGATTAGAGATGATAAGATAGAGAATATTCTTGAGCTAAGTGGACTCAGCTCTCCCCACTCCTTTCCATACTTGCATCTTTGTCACAGTCCAGCAAGTTTCTTTTGCACTGCCCTTAACAACATCTGCCATTAGTAATCCAAAGCTATGTTCAAACAAGACATTAATTAAACAGGTTCATTGTGAAAACTAGATTTCAGTTAACAGCTTCTTCTATGTGGGATGAAGAAAATGCTTGGTGGAGAATAAAAGTATATGATCAAAATTTGATTCAACTCTGGACCACAAAATCTTTCCCTTAGGATTCATCTAGCCTGTTATTGCGTCTAGGTTAATTTTTTCCCATGGGAATTATCTCATCATCTTTTGCCTCACATGAATCAAGGCAGACAAATCGAAGGTGTCTTGCAGAATAGTTGAGGTTAATTAACCCATGTTTCCACATGAGGCTAGGAAGCTGTTCTGAACCATGTCTCAGTACCTAAGCTTACTGAACCTTGCCTATTTTTACACTTAACCCTCTGTGCATAAGTATACCAAGAAACTGTTGTGCAGAGCATGAGAAAGGGAATGCCAGGTGTTCCCTGGAGTTTCCCTCATCACTTCACTGGGGATATCTTAAGAACCCCTCACTGAAGTGTTTGGGGGAACTCTGGGAGATACTTGACACTGCTTTGCGTGGCAGGCATCAAATACTGTTGGGAGGCTTTATTTCATGTGCAGGCAAGCTTTTCAATAACCACGTAAACTTTTCAACCCATTTCTTTATGTAATTCAGTGTTGTTTAATAATTAATGAAACCATGTCTTCCAAACAAGGTCCATGGTTTCGATCTCTTTTTATCCATGTACTTTAGGTTTTACATCTGCATTACTATCATCTACTGCTCCAACAATGGCATCATCTTTCCAGTACATTACTATCCATCTTCTTCAGATAAGAAACAGATGAATGGAAAAGAGAATACAAAATCTCTTCTATCTATCTAATTTGGCATCTAAAACGATAAAACAGGGCAAAAATGAGATCATATGTGTTGAAATCAGAGGATGTTGTAGCACCTTGAATGAGATCGTAATGTCGAAAAATCGAAACCTGAGAGCCATATTTGGAGGCTATTGCGTTCCCCCCTTACTCATCAGTGTTATATTTCTCATTTTGGTTTTAGAAACGAACCATCCATCATCTTCTGGAATGGCTGAGTTTGCACAAATTCAATCACCTGTCTCGTCTAAACATTGCATATCCCTTTATGTCGACAATGGAAGGTGAGCGGGGACGATTTGAGACCTTGTGGTTAAGCTACCATTTTGACTGGAAGGTCAATGATTTAACCTTTGTGCATGGTAATGATTTAATCTTTCCTGGATAGCTGATTGTGTTATCCTTCACTGCATTATGTTTTGAGTTTCACTGCAGCTAGACGACTGTGATCGTATCAATCCAGAAACAGAAATAAACCGTCCTCTCAGGAAACTTCTTATTACTGGAACACATGGAATAATACCGAGAGTTCATCTGGTGCAACCTCCAACCTCTTGTGATCGCTTAGCATAAATACATTTAAATATATTAAATAATTCGTAATCGATATTATCAAATAATAATCTTATGTATAAATATTTCGGTATTCTAAAAGTGTAAATATACTTGATTATACTAATGTTTAAATTGGGAGTGTTGCATGCACACATTAATATATCTGTTGTATTTGATTGATTAAGACCTTTAACTATAACTGCCAAAGTTTCCTTTCTTAAAATATAAACAAATGAAAATATCATGTCTAGAAAAGCATTCCACGTTTTAGAACATAATATTTGTTCCTTTGATTAACCCTAACAACAACTTGCTGCCTAATTTCTACACTGGGAAATGATTGTTTTCCACACAGTATGTCAAGTATAACACTTGGTGGAGCAAAAAGTTGTTGACATCTCAGTAGGACATGAAGAATCCCAACCTAAGCTTGGCTTCCAAACATCCCCCATACTGTTCATAGGCAAAGGCAAACTAAACGGAATCTCAATGGATCGATGGTCCCAGTGGTGATTATCGCCATGGCTGACATTCAAGCTTTTAACTAAGGAGCTTTGGTGACTCATCATGTTGTTCCCTTGCATCTCGTGTGGCAAAGCCGTCGTTCTCGAGTATCCCAGGCCAAAATGTAAACCACCTGAGGCCTTACAGTAATGATCTTCGAGCATGGAAGATGACATGTTTAGCAGCATCGAAGTAACATCAACAGCAGGTTTGGAAGCTATTGGAGTATGGTCAAGAGATGTAATAACGCTGGTGAGGTCTCCATTTGACATTTGAGTGATGGGGACAAAGTCCAAAGTGGGAAACACACCATTAGATGTCTGTAATAGGTCAATATTAAGGTTTAAACTGGTTTTTCCTGACAAGGGTACGTTAGGCATATCAGATACCGACGATGTTTCAGGTGTCGGAGAAACCCAGGAATTAGAAAAAGCTCTATGAGCTGTGGTGTTGGTCTTCTTGAATATCCTGCATATCGCCCATGAATCCTGCAAGTAAAATGATCAATAAAGAAAGTGAACAAAACAATACAAAAGAAAAAGAGAGAGGAAGGGTTTTGCAGGTATTAATTACATTGGCAGGAATGGTTTTGTCCAATAATCTCTTGGGAGGAACTGGGTCAGCGTGCGAAGGCAACCTAAACTCGTGCATCATCCAATCAGTTTTCACCCCTTTGGCTGCTCTGCCTTTATAGAAAACAAGAGATTTCTTCAACCCAATGCATTTGCTGCCTTCTGAGGAATATATGGGGCGGTCGGTTCCAGTGGCTTTCCAAAACCCAGCTCCGGTTACTCGGTTCGGCCTTGCACTGTTTCTGTATTTTCTATCCCTAGGACAGTAGAAATACCACTCTTTCTCGCCGGTGGTCGCCAGTTCTTCATGAAAAAGAAATACAAATAAACAACGTTAGCTTCCAGCTCCCTACTACATCAGAGCTTTAAACACCGCTATATATTCTCATATACGGTGTTAACTTACTTGGAAGATCCCATGGATCATATTTGTAAATGTCTAGTTGCTTAATAAGCTCCATTGAGAGAGATTGGTGTTGAACCTTTCTTTTAAGATAAAACCCTACAAGCTCTTCATCAGTTGGATGAAACCTGAACCCTGGAAGCACTATTTCCTCCATTTTATCACTTTCATTTCTTTCATCCATGGATGGGAAAGTTCACTAGGAAACTATGCCTAAACAGAAAGAAAAAAATAAGGAACAAGGAAGCTTTGAACAAGGAGAAATGAACTCAAAGACCGCAAGTTGAGAGTTAAGTTTTCACTTAATTTGAAGCCAATATATGCTCCCTGGGGAAGGGTCTTCCCCCGAACTATCAGCCGCCTTTTCTGCTCTATGTTTCGCGTTGCCTCACCAAAACATAGAATGGAAACCATGTTAATTTAACAGTTTTCAGTTTTTGTCCCTCTAATTTAACATTTTTATATTAATGAATACACATGATTACACATAATTAATACTATTAATTATTTGGTTAAAATGCTGAAAATATCCATTCCAACCTAGATATTCTAGCAAAATGAATTAGAAGAAATAATTAACAAGAAAAAACCTAGTCATATTTTAATTAGAATAATATTTAACGATATTGATTATATGTATAAATGATGAAATTTTATTGAATTAAGATATAAAGATTAAACCTTAAATTAAACATTGTAAAGAAATTTAAACCTTAATTTGGCCTTAAAGATAGAATAACTATTCCATAATAAATTAAAATTAATTTAAATTAATGGTATATATTAAATCAAATAACAATATCACTTCAAATAAAATAAAAATAAAAATTTATTATAGAAACATGGACCCAAACCAACTCCCATACAAAATTCAATGGTCTTTGGTTTGAATAAGTATATAGAAACATGGAGCTGAACCAATTCCCTATAAGTGGCGGATCTAGAAATTAAAAAATAAAGGTTCAAAATTTTAATACTCAATTCTAAAAAAAATTAAATGTGTAAATTTTCTTACTTTTCCCTATTCCTATTAATAAATTAAATTAAATTAAATATTTTTTTCAGAATAATAAGTGTACAGTGACTCTTATGAATCAGTACATCTGCCGCTGCTCCCAATACACACGAAATTATATAGAATAGCATGGAATGCATATTAAAGAATGGTGTAATAATGTAATGGGATCTAGGGTTTCTCCGAATCCGAAAATTCAGTTTCTATTCCATTCCCTGAGCTTCTATTCCACTGACTTTGTCAGCTTTATAATATCAGTGCCAACTTCACCATCTTCTATGCATTGCATACCCTTTATTTCAAACGCCTAAAAAACAAATCCTTTGACTTTTCGGAACCCATATATATGAATTGCACATTATGAATGAATTTCTCAATTGATACTTATATATAATGACTCGAACTTGAAGTTTTTTAAAATGATATCAAGTTGTTTATCACTTAAATCAATCTTATTAATTATTAATTTTAATATTTCAAGTATATTATTAATCACAAATTGATCTTGCTTCAGATTGTGTTTATTTGGATATCTTGTTAGTTAAACCTTGATTTGGATCTTTAAATTTACTCACTCATATTGATGGTGTTTTTGATCACTCTAAACAGTTGAGTTTGAATTATAATAAAACTAATTATCATTATTATTGTATTAATTTTTATGTTAATATTAATGATATTTATTTTTTTATGATAGGTGTTTTTGATCACTCTAAACAGTTGAGTTTGAATTATAATAAAACTAATTATCATTATATTATTATTATTGTATTAATTTTTATGTTAACGTTAATGATATTTATTTTTTTATGATGGGTGTTTTTGATCACTCTAAACAGTTGAGTTTGAATTATAATAAAACTAATTATCATTATAATATTATTATTGTATTAATTTTTATGTTAATATTAATGATATTTATTTTTTTAACGTGGACAGTGATACATTGCACAACTTACAAGCTGGGTTTACGTTAATTAGAGACAAGCCGAAGGAAGTTTAAATGAAACCGGGGGTGAAAGTCAAATTTAATTACTCAAAAATTTCCTCTGTTTTAGTGAGCTGTGGGAAACCAAATGCTATAGAATTCATCAATCTTCTTGCCTTCTACCATTGCAATTAAGAGGAAACTCAACTGAAGTGTGATTTTGTTTTCTCGTAGTTGATAATAAAAAATGGTCTAGTAATTGGATTCCACGTGGTTAGTTTTAGTATTATGATTTTTTTTGTAAATTCAAGACAGTATTTGTTCAAAAATAACTATTAATCATTTAACATTAGACGCGCACGCATTATACTCCTGACATTTATAATGCTCGAACTCAAATCCTTGAGAAATAATAACAATTCTACAAAAACCACTTGATTCGTGCACCATCATAAATTTAATGGTGGGGAAATGGGTTGAGTTCAGTGAATCAAATGCAAATTTGGGACTCCAAAACTCAGTGAAACTCCCCAAATCTAGGCCTCGGTTGGAACTTTCTTGTCTGTTCCTTTACATTGGGACTCTTCCAACCCAAGCTTCTTTGCCTCTTTCTACGTGGAAAATTAACCCCTTAATTACAATCACCCAAGAAATGACGAGTATTCGATAAATTAAGTTAAAATAGTTAATTAAATTTATGGTTATTATTTTATCATTTAAATTTGAAATGTTTAAATAAATTTATAAAATGATTGATTCGAAAGGAAGTAGATGACTGGTGCACGAAAGAATCCAAAACATGCAAGTGGGAAGCAGGTGAGCACGTGACTTCGCATCTTTCCCTGTATAAACAAAAGGACAAATCATGGTTTCTAAAATCATAAGACATTTTACTAACGTGTGCTTAAATACATTTGGGCAAATTATGTAGTCTTCTGCATAGGGTAACATATATGAATGAAGCCCTAAAGTTCACCTTGGACAGTCACCCTTCAAAATTGTTAGTGCAATACGAAGGGGGCTACAGTCTTAGTGTTAAGAAAATAAACCGAGTACAAGTAATTTCCCTATAATCAGATTAGTGAGAATGCGAAATAAAAGCGGAAAAATAATACCCGAAATTGATAACGAAGTTCAGCCAATTATGCTTACGTCTCCGGACTGCTGCAGATCTTTTACTAAGAGAGAAAATTTACAGGTGTTTACAAAACACTCACTACTCACAAGAAAACTCTCTAGTATTGGGAGAAAGAAATGATTTTTGGTATGGCTTTGAAGCTAAATGAGCTAGGGTATTTATAGTTGAAACTTAAGGACTTAATCTTGTAAATACCCTAAAACCTAGGGATTAATTGTGATTATCCCATTATCATTTTTCAACAAACATCTACAAAACTTTGAAAAACTATTTTTCAAAGAAACATTTACCAAACTTTGAAAACCATTTTTTCAAAGTTGGTTACCAAACTTGAAAACCATTTTAATACTTTCAACAAAAAGAAGACGATGAAAGCGCTGAAAAGTCAGAGACTACTCAGATACATGTGGAAAAAGAGTTTGAACAAGGAGATTCTTCTGAAGCAGAACCATCACATGATGAACAAGAACCAGAGAGTTCTGAAGCTCCAACAACTCGTTAATCAGATCGTGTGAGAGACGTCCCAATTGGCACTCAGATTATGCTATAGAAGGTAATATTGCATATTGCCTTTTAACAGAGGACGGTGAGCCATCAACATACCAGGAGGCAATAAACAACTCAGATGCTTCACTGTGGATGATGGCGATACAAGAAGAAATTGAAGCCCTTCATAAAAATAACACATGTGACCTTGTGCCACTACCACAAGGAAGGAAGCCAATTGGTAACAAATGAGTCTTCAAAATCAAGCGAAATGGTGACAATCAAGTGGAGAGGTATCGTACAAAACTGGTGGTCAAAAGATATGCTCAAAAAGAAGGTATTGATTTCAATGAAATTTTTTCTCCTATGGTTCGACTAACAACAGTTAGAGTAGTCTTGGCAATGTGTGCTACATTAAACTTACATCTAGAGCAGTTAGATATTAAAACAATTTTTCTTCATGGAAATCTTGAAGAAGAGATTTATATGCTCCAGCCTGAAGGTTTTGAAAAAGAAGAAAAGAAGAACTTGGTTTGTAGGTTGAACAAATCTCTGTAGGGTCTAAAGCAGGCACCGAGGTGTTGGTATAAGAGATTTGATTCCTTCATTATGTTCCTTGGATACAACACACTTAATGCAGACCCTTGTGCTTATTTCAAGAGGTCTGGTGATAACGATTTTGTTATATTGTTGTTGTATGTGGATGACATGTTGGTTGCAGGACCCAACAAAGATCATATTGAAGAATTGAAGGCACAACTGACTAGGGAATTTGAAATGAAGGACTTGGGATCAGCAAACAAGATTCTAGGGATAAAAATTCACCGAGACAGAAGTAATAGGTAGATTTGGCTTTCACAAAAGAATTACTTAAAGAAAATCTTGTCACGATTTAGCATGCAAGATTGTAAGCCAATTTCTACCCCTCTTCCTATTAACTTCAAATTATCCTCTAGTATGAATCCTAGCAGTGAAGAAGAGAGGATGGAGATGTCTCGAGTACCGTATGCATCAGCAGTGGGAAGCTTAATGTTCGCTATGATATGCACAAGACCAGACATTGCACAAGCAGTGAGAGTGGTTAGTCGGTACATGGCGAATCCAGGCAAAGAGCATTGGAATACAGTAAAGAGGATCCTGAGATACATCAAAGGGACCTCAAATGTTGCATTATGTTACAGAGGATCAAACTTACTTATCAATGGGTATGTTGATTCTGACTATATAGGGGATTTGGATAAAAGAAAATCTACTACAGGATATGTGTTCAAAGTTGCTGGTGGAGCTGTAAGCTGGGTTTCAAAATTGCAGTCAGTTGTGGCTACATCCACAACAGAAGCAGAATATGTACAGCTACACAAGCCAGTAAAGAAGCAATTTGGTTGAAGATGCTATTGGAGGAGCTTGGGCACAATCAAGAGTATGTCTCTCTGTTTTGTGACAGTCAAAGCGCCTTGCATCTAACAAGGAAACCATCATTTCATTCAAGGACAAAGCACATACGAGTTCAGTACCACTTCATTCGTGAAAAGGTGGAAGAAGGGACAGTAGATATGCAGAAGATCCATACCAAAGACAACGTAGCAGATTTCATGACGAAAGCGATCAACGCTGATAAATTTATGTGGTGTCGATCCTCCTGTGGCCTGTCAAAAACGTAAGCAACATGAAGGTACAAGGTAGAAAGAATGGTGTGAAGATATGATTGTTCAAATCAAATCTTCAAGTGGGAGATTGTTGAAAAGTCAAAGCATTAAATGGGGCGGCATGGGGCGGCTGAATTTGATTCAAAGTTTGCTGCCAAATTGTTGAAAAATTATGGTGCAATTGTCAAACAAAATTATTACAGCAGTTTTTGTTGAAAACAAAAGTGATAAAATCACAAACTTTAGTCCCTAGATTTTAGGGTATTTATAAGATTAGTCTTTAAGTTTCAACTATAAATACCCTAGCTCATTTAGCTTCAAGATCATCCCAAAGCATTTTAGCTTTCTTCCAATACTAGAGAGATTTTAGAGAGTTTCTTGAGAGTTGTTTTCTCCTTTTTATCTAGAGAGAATTATCATTGTTTTCTCCTTGGTAGATCGAGAGATGTTGTAATTCCTATTTTCTCATAGTGAAATTCTTCTACCGTTGACCGTGGTTTTTACCCTAAATTTTTAGGGGTTTTCCACGTAAATTTTGTGTCTCTTTTATCTTCATTTTTATTTTCTCAAATTATCAATTGCGATTTTGTTCTATCCGATAGCTGTCTTCCGCAACACAATCAAGCCTTGTTTCGGTCTAAATAGGTTACATGCTACAAATACTATTCCGTATCTACATTTAAATGACCACATATGCACTTGGGTAACTTACACCCCTTTCTTACTGTCTGCTGTGATGTTAGCTCCAACAAGACAGTAAATTCCTTAGATGCAAGCTCATTCTCAAAAAAGTTAAAATCAAACAAACACAAGTGGAATTCACTTGATTATCCTTTGCTAATAACTATTAGTGTGAAATTATTTCTAACCTCCCTTTGAGATTCCTCACCACGAAACAAGGACATGGCAGCAAAGCACATACAAGAGCCATCCTTTCTATAGACTGAAAGGTTCTTTCAAATCTGTACGAGTATACCAAAATATTAGATTGAAAATCTGGATACAACACTCAGAGCAGAGCATTACAGTCAAGCTTGGCTTTAGATTTTTATTAAACCTCTACTTAGCATCAACATAAGTTTTTCAATGTTACCATCGAGAAAGTTCAGAAAGGCTGATTAGCAGGCTTTCATGCAAATGCTCATATAACCTACAAGGCTAAAAGAACGTGGCGATGCAATTTCAAATGGAAAGAAGCTATAACACTTTTAAATCTTAAGAAAAGCCCCTACAATGCAATTTCATCTGTGCACTGTTCAAAAACAATAATATAAGCGTAACTAAATCAACTCATACAATATACCTACAACATGGCAGAAACTTATAACGTTCAGGCTACTCATGATACATACCTTAGATCCACAAACAGTATTTCAGCCTTCTCGTCCAAACTAAGTTCCTCTATATTAATTCCTAGATAAGGTATAGGCTATGGCTGCTGTCTCCAACAATCCTTTCAAAATACAACTGCCTGGAAAACTTGATAATCAAACAAACAATGGCTACAAAGAATTCGCAGAACAGAGACAGTATCTTTTCAGAATCTCCATTTAAAAATAAAAATAAAAAACACCTTAATCCACAGGCAAGTGAAGTTAATGAAACTGTTTTCCACTCCCATTGAACCTCTCATCGCTTGAGCATTTGCCAGTGGCCACTCCAATTCAATACGATTTCCAGCAACACAGCAGAGAAACTGGTGTGAGCTCTCCCGAAGTTGAGGATAAGATTACCGGTATGGTTTAAACGAGACATTAGCTCGAATTGGGCCCAAAAGAATTTGAATTTCTTTCTTCTACTAGTCCAACTCCAGCAACTCGAGTTTGCGAACAAACATCATCAGCAAATCACATATAAGCAAGTTTGATCTTCCTTGTCATTGGATGATACAGAAATTCAAGTACGTAAATAATGTAAACAGGATTAGCTTAAATAATTTGATTTTACTTTAACTCAAACTCTAATTTTCATAGTGTTAGCACGAATTAAATTATTTAATTGATTAAAGAATTATTGTTATTCTTATAAGTTTCTATTCGAGTATCACTGACTTTAGCAACGATGACTAAGCGTTATTGTCAAATGATTGAAATTTGAATAGATACTAGTTTATGATCATTTTAGCTTAATAAAATAATTTATGAAAATCCATTGAATTTAAATAGAATTCTAAACAACAATTGAATTTTACGCCATTTAAATTTGATTCACAATAGTAGTTACAATAAAATAAACATTAAATCTACTGATGGCTCGAGAAAGGCCTCGAAGGGATTAACAATTTGTGGAGGCATTGCTCGTAACCACCTTGGCAATTCGATGGATCGTAGTCGAAACTGATAGTAAGGAGGCGATAGATGTCCTTCAAGGTAAGTTCGATGCTGGGAGCTGTTCCCTATGGGTGCCGCACGTTCACGCTGTGCTCCAACGAGATTGGCAGTTGAGGTGTCAGTATGTGCCAGGGGAAAATAACAAGGTTGTGGATGACTTAGCAAACATGGCATGGATGAGCGCAGAGAATATCAGCCTCTATGCAAATGTTCCAGATAAAATCAGAATGCTCATGAAAGATGATGATCGTGAACAAATAAGAAGTTAATGACACCTACCTTTGTATTAAAAAAAATCAAGTTTTGAGTGCGTAATAATATATTAACTAAATTTATTATCACTTGAACTCCTTTCTAAATCCAGTGTATTGGAATGAATTCAGAAAATAAATACACTTATGCTCCTTAACCTAGATCCAAGCTGATGAGCTCCCTGGTCTGATCTGAAGTCTAAAACATGCAAGAAAAAGAAAAGGCTGCAAACTATATAAATAAAGATGGCCATAGCCGACCAATAACATCATGTAATCATGTAAGCAACACCCTCCGCACTATAACTCTTTCAAAAGTAATGGGGGCCAATTCTCGATAACGGACAAAGCCAAAAGGGAAAAGTTGCTTAAAAGAGTTGGGGAACCCATTTCCCTTGAACTATTTGTCCGAAACGTTTAAGTTGTTAAAGCTCAAAACCAAAGCAGTTCCATGGTGCTATAATAACTTGTCAGAAGAACTCTGTCGAAATAGACCTGCTGCTGCCACGATATTTTCTCATCTTCTAGTTACTTACCATCGTACGGTCACAGAGCTGCTCACCGATTTAATCTGATCATCATCAATAACCGCCTTTATCAACCATCCTCCGGCCATCGATGTGGGTTGTCCACCGCCTGTCTGCCACTCCTTCTCCCAATGCGCATTGGCGCATTGGCGCATTGCACACCTCGTGTGTATACAAAAACGCGTGGTCTTGATGTTTTTGTGTTTTTGCTATGATGTTTAAAGGGGTCTTGCTGCCTAGGATCCCCTTCCCCTATTTGTTGGCTTATCCCTAGGAGGAATAATTATAGATCCAAATTCTATTCATTATTTAAAAAGGTTTAAATCACAAGTAATGTTATTCATCATTCAAAAATTCAAGTTAAGCTTAATCCATCTACTATGTACAAGTATTTTTGTTGATTCGGTATTATTATATAAATATGTTTATAGTTTATATTTAAATTATTAAATTCAAGATTGTATTTAGATGTGGTTTTAATTTTATATCATACCTAAGCTATTTTTTTAAGATTTAAAGTAATAATAAATTATTTAGGAACACCAATTTAAAAATTAAGAAATAACAGTACCTAATTTTTATTCAGAAAAAAAATGTAGTAGTAAAATATCTCTTGGGAGCATTGAATTTTAAAAACCCATCTATCGACCGAAGTGCAAAACCGACAGAAAAAGATGGAGAAAGACTTGCGTTTTCGAATTTCTTGATAGCTTTTTATCGCAGTCCAGTCCACATTAATAAAGCCACGTACAGGGCACAACGTCTTTGTGCTTGATTTTGGTTTTCTGCTGATATTGATGGTCTTTCTTCTTCATCTGTGATTCTTTTTCTCCAACTATAGTGGAGAGAGTTTAGGGTTTTCTCTATTTTCTGTGTTTTATTCACACGTCTCCTTCCTTTCAGCGCTATAAGAATCCCCTCTACTTCGGACATCATTACTAAAATATTCAATTCTGTTTTTCCATATTTGAGTTCTTGAACCATTGATGCTATTGGTAAGCTATCTGACATTTCTTTTGAATCATCATGATGTTATTTTCTTCTTCTTTTTTATTTCTGATTCAAAGATTTTCTTTTGTCTTGAGAAAGAATGAATGTACTCAAATGAGCTCTTAGCTAGTTGTGTAAAGCCAACGTTAAATCCACTGATCGTTGTCTTTGATATTTAGAAATCAAGGATTTGGATTTCTTGCTTTACTTTGATCTAAAATCTGGGAATTAAATGCAGGTTAATATTTTAAATAAAGAAAATGGCTCTGAAACCGAGTTCAGCTGACGCTAGAACTAGGAGTTGGATTCAAATATTCATTGTGTTCGGATTGTGTTGTTTCTTCTGCATATTGGGAGCTTGGCAAAGAAGTGGTTTCGGTAAAGGAGATAGTATAGCTCTAGAAATGACCAAACATAGTGCAGATTGCAACATCGTCTGGAACTTGAACTTCGAAACCCACCATTTCGGTGAAGTCGGTAATGTTGATGAATCCGAAAAGCCCAAATCTTTCGAACCCTGTCACCCTCCTAGAATTTCTAGTGGAACTGTTCCTGGAGTTTCTGTTGAGGCATACCAAGAGGACAAGTAGAAGTGGACGAAGCATGTTGATGCTTATAGGAAAATCAATAGGCTTATAGATTCTGGGCGGTATCGTAATATTTTGGACTGCTGCCCTTGATTCTTCCAAATTGTGGGTTATGAATGTCATGCCCACCATAGCAGAGAAAGATACCCTCGGTGTCATATACGAGTGTGGATTAATTGGCATCTACCATGACTGGTAAGGCTTACTGAACTTTGGGAATAAATAATTTTGTTCGTACCGTCTTTTAGTGTTAAAAAAGTTCAGGTAATCAGAAAGAGGTAAAAAGAAGTTACGTTCCATTAATCTATTTTGAAACGCGAGAGCGATTAGGCTACGGAAATTTAAGCTATATTAGAAACTAGACCAGGATTTTTGTACCTAAAACCACTCTGGTTCACTTGATATGGTGGCATAACTTGAACTTGGTTTGTTGCCCTCTCTGGTTCAGGTGTGAGGCTTTCTCGACATACCCGAGGACATATGATCTCATTCATGCCAATGGTCTTTTCAGGTTGTACCAGGACAAGTAAGTATCCCTAGTCAATATGCTTTCCATTACTTTTGAGCATTTTAATATATGTGGATTCCTTTTACTTTTTTTTACCTAGTATTGAGGTTCGAGTGAGTTCAAAATACCTGTAAAGAGCACGCTATTGTTAGAGCAATTGACATCCCATGTCTTATCATTAGAAGTTCATATATTCGATCTGATGTTCGCAAATGCAACCTGGAGGACATTCTATTGAAGATGGACCGAATTATGCAGCCAGAAGGTGTGGTTATATTCCTGGACAAGGTAGATGTTCTTATTGAAGTGAAGAAGATAACAGCAGGAATGAGGTGGGACACCCAGATGGTTGATCATGAAGATGGCCCTTTGGTTCCTGAGATGATATTGGTTGCTGTTAAGCAATATTGAGTTGTAGGTGGAAACTCAACAGCTGCACAGTCGGCCGAATACAGCAGATTTTGAAACCTGTGCTCTCTGTTACACATGAATCTGATTAATTTCCTGCCTGAAAATTTTTGCTGCACGGTTTTAGGGAGGCAATTTCGGTAACAAACTATGGATCGATATCGATCACTGTGGGTTCATTTGTATTAAATTATGAATAGACAGCTTTAAAAGCGTATATGCATCCAAAGTTCCATCATATTTTTCGTTTTGGTCATATTTACAAAATGTTAGCTCGAGAAGTTAATGCACGATTCCTTGTCTGTCAATGAGTTGTCAAGTTCTTTTCTTCTTTAGTTGGTTATCTATTTAAGAAAACTCCTTTCAACCCAAACTCTAAATTTTATCAAATTTGATCTAACAAGTAATTAATTGCAAAAGAAGAAAAGGCAAAGTTCTCAACACAGCAGAGCTCCAAATATGTGGTAAAATGATGATAATAAGTTTTGGTGAAGCCACTAGCAAGCATGTGGTCCTACGTAATTAAACATATCTCTGCATATATTCTAAGCCTACATAATGTTGTTAAGCCAACAGCCTGGAAGAACCCTAGAAACTCTCCTCTTCCTTTTAGTTAATTTATTCCTCAGATTCAGCCTCTGGGTTTCACAAAAATCTTGTGGTTTTAGTGTTTTGGGTTGTCTTAAGAGGGAACTTGTACTTTGTTTTGTATGGTTCATCATTACTTCCCCTACTCCCAGGTTTTGCCTTCTGTCAGCTGAATTTCGACAACTTCATGGCTATGGTTACATTTACATCAGCCTTGTTGAAAAACAATGGCGAAGATGGAGAAATCGGAGTATTCGGAGCTGAAAAATACTTCAATGGAGCAATAGATGGTCCAATACCAACCAAAAAAGATTCAAACAAGTTGGAATGCACGAAACATCAAGTGGTCAATCATGAGCCGATGAAGCCATCTGCACAGCCAACAGCTCCAGCTCCAGCTCCAAGTATACGTTCAGAATCAAGCTGGAACAGCCAAAACCCATTACTCGATATCCAAAAACCTCGGCCGAAACCCAGTAAGCCCGTAAATGCAAAGAGTTTCTTTACTTCTCTTGCCATCTGTAAATGCTACTGTTTCGATAGAAACTCCATCGATATGGAAGTGGGTGAAATAAGTTTCAAAAGACCCAACGGAGAGGTTCTAGTTCAGGGCAAGCAAAATAAAACAACAGCCGCTACAAAGGAAGACCTTTTCACATTCCCCACCGTGGATTCAACGGTGGGTGTTGGGCCTATTAAACAAGGAGATGTGGATGAAATCGGAAGGAAATCGTTGGAGGTATTCGGCTCTCCGGTGCTCGGGACTGGGAGACGAAACAAGTCTTTGAATGCGGAGAGGAGTCGTAAAATGCTATCATGGGATCGTGCAATTCCCAGAGTAGAAGAAATCGATACAGGGAGTGATGAGAGTTCGGATTTGTTCGAGATCGAAAGCGTAACGGGGAAACCCGATCATTGTTACGCGCCGAGCGAGGGCAGTATAGAGTGGAGTGTGGTCACTGCAAGTGCGGCTGACTACGATGAACCAAGGCCGTCCACTACAAGTTTATCCAGTCCCGTTAAAACGTTTCCCACCAAAATCAACGTCCAGAGGCCGCGTTCTAGCGTTCTATTGGGGTGTAACACCTCCAAAGCGGTAAACACAGCTGGTGATGCCCATAAAACCAATCACAATGCCAAGTTTAGACCCAATAATGAGGCGTGTCTCGGACTCGTACATCCCCCTCACCACACTTCCACCCGACACTAAACTCGTTGCTGCTTTTGAACCTACGCCGATACTCACCACTCGCTCCCTTCCCCTTCCCCTTCCCCTTCCCCTTCCTCCTTCACGTTCTCCACCACTGTGCCCCTGGGGACCAGCGGAGAAATAACAGCCATGTGCATAACAAGGAGAAATAAATTGGAAGGGCAATGGTAGATCCATAACATAAATGCAACAGATCAAAGAATACGACTATGGAACACCATTATGATGAAAGCAACCTATTTTGTGGTCACACAATTCCGTTAGACTTCTGGGATTTGTGGGAATGTAAATGATGTCTGGTTACATGTCTATTTGCACAATATAGGGATAAAAGTTGTAGTTTTCACTTGGACCATTCGGAAATAGACGTGTTTGTGGATTAGATTAAAATATCGTATGATTTTTTTTAAATAGGAATGTTGGTTGGTTATTTAATGAAAAAGACGAAAACGACACAATGGTCCCTCGTTTTTGCTTCACATTATGGACCGACAGTGGCCGAATGAACACTTTTGGAATATATATAGTAATATACATGTATCCATATATATAATGGAGATTTTAGAGCACCCAAAATCAAGCAAAGTAGATTTTAAAATTGTGCTGCCCATATCAATTATTATAATTACTTATTTTAAAATTTCAATATTCAATAATTATATTATATTTAAAATCAAACTAAATATGATTCCTAAATGAAGGATAAGCTAGGCCAACATTATTTTCTTCTTCCATAAAACTTGAATTAAAAACGTTGTCTAACATTAATATCTCAATGTCATACAAAATTGGCATCGGCTAATTTGTAAGGTGTGGCACTTAAACCCATTTCTAGATTTCATTTCTATTATGAACATCAACCGGATGAGCTCAGACAAGACCAACGTATATGCCTCCTATACCGCCTTTAACTCCTTAGTCTCAAAGACCTCCTTGAGAAAGTTTAGACTGGTTTGAGTGGTCCGCTTGCAAGGTGCTGAAGATAACACACACAAAGACATGCATGCATAAAAGGATCAGTTATGCTGGGTTTCTTTGAGTTTGTATGGGGACTTTTTTTCTCATTACCTTTTGTGCTCTTCTTGTTAGATGATAGAACAGTTGATTTCCACTCTTCATAAGCAACTTTCTCCGCTTTCTTTTTCCTCTTGTAACTTGAAATCTGCAAGAGGCTGCTCATGTTAGTTCTACAGTACTTGATGTACAAGAAAATAAGTGAATATGCATAGAAAAACAGCACCCCCATAATTGATTATTGTTTTCGTGAACAATATCACAAATCTCTACTAGTTTTTTTTAGTTAAACATCAGACTTGCTAGACCACAGATGAACAATCCACGCAACGCTTAGATATTGGAGAGTTTAATCTCCTGAATGCATCAACAGAACCCCCATAATTGATTATGAAACAATAACACACCACTTGTTCAACACAACCAATTAAACAGTCAGGTAATCTTTACACAATCAAATCACTAGGCTGCATATCTATGTATGAAAACAATGAATCCAACTTTCATCCAACACTCAATAAACTAATTTTATAGATGCCACAGTATTACCTCTGGTTCGTCATCAGATAAATAACCACCATCATCGAATTTTCTTTTCTCAGGCAACACATCTAGCAGTTCTGCGGACAGATCAAAGCAGGTTATTCCCTGTGTTGAAAATCAACATATGGTATTAAAATTGTTTTGTAACTGGTAACGTCAAATACACAAGGCAAGTCAAAATGAACGATTACCTCTGTTTCCTTTCACTCCCTTGGGATCTTTTTTCTCATTTGAGATTCCAAAAACATCATGGCACAGATCTTTCATGGAGGTAGAAACCTGTATTGAAAGTTCCAAATAAATGCTCAGGGCACTAAAATTTACAAATTAACAATAGATAGGTAATATGTAGGGAAAAACCATGTTACTTACACAAGAAAACTCGGATTCAGAGGTTCCGCAAACCTCAATCAACCTATCCTTGTCAATCTTCAGCTGGAAAGTAAGGAGTTTATGTCAAAAACAAGTAGAATAGAGGAATAAAAGCATTTTATAGAATGATTAAATGTGCATTACCTTATGTTTTTTTGCACATAAGTAAAATGCCACAGCAGTGAACACTGGTCTGGTGAAGTCTGCACTTGCCTGCCTTGAAGAAGGCAGTGATGCCATAAACCGGTCCTTATAGCTGACATAAACATTAATTAAGTCACTCAAACAAGTCAAAGAGTGGTAAAAGAACATAAGAATTCATCTGATGATCAAACGAAAAATGTCATGAATTTGTAAACCTAGCAATTATGAGTACATCATAGAACATCTAATTTTGTGATTTACTCATTCAGTCATTATTTCAAGCACATGAGTAATCAGGAAACGTAATATTATAAACTAAAGATCAAAGAATCTATGAAATGGAAAAGGATCTTACAGAGATAAACCCTTCTTCACAAAAGGAATAAGCCTAACACATCCAAATTGAATCCCCAATTCTCTAATATCCAGTGTTGTTCTGAGTCACCAAATTTCCCCCAAATTAGTCAAAATCTGAGTACAATAATAATCAATTTTACAATGCAAGGGAAAAGTAGGAGAAACCAACTTGATATTTAGACCGTTCTGCAAGGAATTGAAAGATCTATTGTAAGCTTTTTCTGACATTCCACTTAACTTGACAGCTTTCTGCCGATCAAAGAGAACCTCCCCAAACCTAAAAATTTCAGAACAACAACACATTGAGAAAAAACCCTAATCCGGAAAATTAGAATACATTTAAAAAAAATTAATGCATCTTACCTCGTAGCAGCAATTTCTAAGCAAATTACAGCTTTACAAACCTCTCCCTACGAAGAACCAAAAGGGGGGGGGACAATAAAGGATTACCACTTCAGATTTGAACTTCAGTGAGATTAAAGTAATAAATGATTAGAGGATGAAGCTCTTACGACACCGATAATGGAGGAATCAAACTGGACATCGCAGAGGCGGCGGAGTTCCGCCGCTTTTCGGACTAGCATCTTGTGTTGTGAGAGATCAAGCTTTCTCGCTATATCTGACAGATCCATAATGGCCCCGAAACCGTTGCTGGATTTTCTTTGATTCTTTTATGATTCTATGAGAAAACAAAGAACTAAGTCTTTGGTAAATTTTTATGAAAAATGACAGAATGCAGGAAGAAATATAAGTGGCGTAGAAAGTTGGCGGGAGAAGTTAAATTCAGGCGGCCTTTTTTTTCAAAATTTGAGCGCGCCGGGCAGTCAGCGCCAATATATAATTTTAATGGGTAAAGTAAATTAAAGGTCTCTGGACTATACTTAAATGACTGTTTTAACTGTTTAACTTTCAAAATTTATAAAAATATCATTTTATTTATCAAACTATTACAAAGAAAACATTGGGATGTTATAGTAAATATAAAATTTTGGTAAATTTAATAAATATATTTAACAATTCAATAAAATTTTAAGATTTATATTAAAATAATTTAATAATTATTTCATAGTAATTCAATAAATTTATTAATCATTTTGCAACTTTCAAGAAATTTGTAACCATGATAATCATTCGAACATAATTCAATGACCTAATATACTTTATTTTAATTGCGTTTTTTCTCTTCTTTTTTTCTTTTCACTTTTTGGATTTTAAAGCTCTCTCTAGGATTCTTTAATTATGTAGAAAGGGAGGCAAGAGTGAAGGTTTTCTTTCTCTAGTATTTGTTTACTCATAGAAGGTTGGCTGGTTGTAATAATGATTAGGGTGAGTAAAACTCGACTCGACTCGAAAAATCGATTTTTTTTCAACTCAACTTGAATTGAGTTCGAATTGTAATTTTATAAATCGACTAGACTCAAAAAAATCAAATTCAAATCGAGTTATAAAATACAACTCGAATAACTCAAAATTTTTAGTAATTTGTATATTTATTTTCAAGTTTAAGTCGAAGTTTGAGTTGAGTCTCTCGACTTTATATGGTATATGTAAATCACATATGAAAAAATACAAAAAAAATGTATATATGTTGTATATGATTATAAAATACCATTTATATTAGAATTAAATAATTTTATAATATTATAAATATTTATAATTAAATTTAAATAGAAACTCGAAAATTTGACTCGGCACGAATTTTATAAAACCGATTCGACTTGAAGAAAAAAAATATCAAATCAAATCCGAGTTATAAAATAGAATTCGTCAACTCGAATAACTCAACTTTTTTACTCGACTCGATTGAACGCTCACCACTACTAAGGATATGGGGCTGTCCTTAGGGGTTAAACAACAGTGCAATAAAATTGGAAAAAGCAAAAAAAATAACAGATGTATATCCATTCAAAGTTCAAACAAATGGAACTTGCTCAGTATGTAAAACAAATTTCAACTTTGCCAACTGGGGTACAATTTCATATCTATTGAAGCCTTATCTTTAGGCTAAATACCGAAACAATTTCCTATCGTTGCCGTCCCTTTCCAAGAATTCCCGCTCGATAAGAGACTCAATTCGTTTCTTGATCTCCGTTGGATTCGCTAGAAACCGTGACTGCAACTGCTTTGTAACCTCAGCGATGACATTGTTATGATCCAGCGCCCTCCTTGATTTCATAATCCTAACAATTGCAGCTTCGATCTGTGGCTTCCTGTCCTCCTCCACTCTTTGTCGCGTCTCGAGCTTTTCGGGTTCTGATTCCTTTTGTGCAACCACAGTTCCTATCTTCACTTTGTAGAATTTGCTTGTGAACTTATCATTGACGAAAAATGCATCATCCGTACTAATATCTTTACTCATAGGTTCTTTCCTAAGAACATTCTTTCCCTTCACGCAAGCCATCGATTGCAAGCACCTTTTCAAGTCTGAAGCAGGGATCTCAGTGGCTTGTTCGATCTCCTTGTAGCTAAGCCTATCAGCATTGTTGAAAAGCATCAATGCACACATTTGGTACGTTGAAACATTCAACTCATGCTTTTGACCCTTCCCAAAAGTGGCTTTTATATCTGCTGTCCCCATGTTAGTTTGCCAAGACAACCTCCGACCAGTATGGGTTCCGAGATAATATGACCGAAACTTCTCACACAGTGCCGCCATTTCACTGGGCAGGTTGCAAGTAAGAGTAGGCTGAGTGGGCCAATACCCTGTCGTTAGAACCTGAACAACTAGGGTAGGGCCTTCTGCTGGCTCAGGATGGCTGGCATAAAACCCTTGCATTGTGTCCTGGGAGGTTTTCATGTCTGTAAACATGCCTTCTAATTTTGAAGTAAACTGATATCCACATTCTGTCTTAAGCTTGACTATCAGACTTCTCTCTGCATCATCAGATACAGTTTTTCCTGACAAAAGCCGCTTAGCTAAGTGCTGTCTGTAGTACTTTTCAAACACATCCTTCTCCTGCAGGTAGCGGAACAGCATCATAACTTTGTCAAGAATGATCTCCACGTCCTCCTCACCGACTCCTTTCAATCCTTTGCGCAGCTTGTCATCCACAAACAAGGAAATGAACTCAGGAGAACGAGAATTCAAATTAATGAAATACTCAAAAGAGGAGTTCAGGGCATTCTGGAATGTCTTGACATTGCTAAATGCTTGACAAATGATTTTATCATATTTGTCCCTTTCATCCAAGAGCCACTGGACAAATTCCACAGGATCTTTCGAACTTTCTGCATCAGTAACCAGTTGTTTACCAGTTTCTCTGAGGTGAGAAGTCATCACATCTCGTATCATTGAGAGACCGTTAGGAACTCGTTTAAATAAATTGTACATTCTACCCAAATCTTCGTACTTGTCATCAAGAAGCATATTTACCAAGCCAGAGTTCTCCATGTGGACCAGTCTTGTCATGTGGTTAGCAATCATCTCCTTCTCCACCACATTAGTTATCTTGGCTTCACTCTTGACATCCAAATAGTGGGCAACTCTCTCAATTTCTTCATTTAGACGTATCTCTGACTTTTTTAGATAATCCCCACAATCACAGTACTCAATAAATTTATGAGATTCAACCTTATAAAACTCTGCAGAAACCTCAAGAAATGGCTTCTCAAAATCCTCCTGGTAAACAGATGAACCCAAATCCATAAGCATCTTGATTATATTCCTCATCAAACCCCGGTCTATAACTTCACCAGTTCGTTCTCTGTGCACTAGTGAAAGAAGCATGCTCAGAAGCCTTGACTGTATTTTGCCGGAATGTATGATATTATCCCTCCACAAGTTGAGTCCCAGCTCATGAACAGGGGTTTTACGAGAATTTGGAATATAAGTCCGGTCCATGTACATCAATATGTCTCGAATCATTTGCAGTGCCTTGTTGTGGTCATTCCATTTCCGGTTCAGCTCTTCAAGAAACAAATCACCTTGAGCAGCCTCTATAGATTTCGATATTTCTTTGAGGTGTGCAGTCATAGTTGTAACAAGTCCAGAGTAAAGCTTCTCACCAAATTTGTGCAAAACCATGTTGTACGCATTCCTGAATTCATATTAAAAAAGCCAACATCATAAAGAAAAGATCCAAAATTCAATCAGCTTATGTGAAAGTCACTTAAATAGGTTCCAAAGAGAGATCTCACTCTTCTGTTTAGCACATAACATTAGTTTAGCACAGATGCAAAATTCCTCTGTGAATAACTACGGGCAATTAAGGTGCAAATATCCGAACTGACCCTCAACTAGAGTTGAATTACAGCTTGGCGAAACATTTTAGCATGACGCATGTTAAAAGTTGAATGTAATTGTTCTAAAGCAAACAACAAACGATCAAAACGTTCAAATATCATTTATTTGCTATCAAATGCAAGGGAAACAAACAAAGAGTATTAATCATTTGCTACTTTCCACTTGAAGTATAATACAAAAGAAAGTTAGTTGCTACTCGCCAATTGAAACTCCATATCAATAGTCATTTGCTTGCAAACAAAGGGGGGGATTACAAAAACAAAAACAAAAAAAGAAGAGTGCGTTGCTACTCAAAACTCCATATCAATAGTTGCTTGCTAGCAAAGACAAGGGAACAAAGAAGAAGCATAAATCCACAATGAAAGCCAGTTACTACTCAAAATTCCATATCAATAGTGAATTTATAATTAAAAAAAACAGTTCATGCTTTCACCAAAAGCCATAAAAGAATTTTTCTTCAGCTTCTCCCACCTAATTAAATCCCTATTGAAAAAAAATCCTGCTTTCACTACTCAAAACTCCATGTTCTTTTCTTATCATTTTTTTCGGGGTGGAGTTTCAGAGACAATATCAGCCAAGAATGGGCAATCCAATTGTTCCCAAAATGGCAGCAACTAAAACAACACCTAGAACAGTTTAATTAAATCCCTAGACGCCGATTACCTTCTTGGGCAGCTCTAAAATGTATTTCAACAGCTTCGTAACCTAAATCAATATACAACATAATCTATCAGAAGAGAAACTCTTCACAGTTTCAAAAAGTCTATGAAATGTTTTTCGACTTAAAAGCAAAATTGCATCTATACTTCTGCACCAAATCATAACTGACGAAATAGAAACATTAAATCACATAAATTAAACAAAAAGAAACAGAAACCTGTAAAGCTCTTCAAAACTGAGGCCGCTAGCATTATGATTGTAAATCTCATGGATTGCGTGTTCGAGAATTTTCCAGGTCTTTTCAGCATATTTCGGATCCACCACGACCCGGTGCTTGAACGCTTCTATCTGGAAATTCCTTTTCTTTTGATTACTCATTTCCTTCCAACCTTCCTTTTTCACTTCAAATCCAAACCTGATCCGAACGAAAACCAGTCCGAAATAAACCGATTTAACCCCCAATAAAAACAGATGGCCAATAAAAAAAGGATCTACAAAACGTCGGAAAGAAAGAAAAAAGAAGAAGAAGCTATTGAGTGATAAATTTCGCGTCCGGACGGTATCCTGAGGTTAGCATATTAGTGTTTGAAAATGAAGAGATTATTTTCAATGATAATTGACATAAATATAATCTGTGTAAAGATACATATTTGAACAGTATGCTCTAAAACAAATGAAACTAATATGCTTTCCTAACAACGAAAACAGATAATTATAGTTACAATTGGAAATTATTTAGGGTATGTTTCTATGTAATTAGTTTTTTGAAAAATATATTCTTTATTTTTTGGTGATTGGTTGGCGAAAAACAGATGGTAAATGTAATTCATTTTTTTCGTTAATTGAATTTTTTTTGTATTTTTTGAAAAACAACTAACTATTTGATTTTTCGTATATCATTTTAATAATTTTTTACTTCAAAACATAAACACTCAAAATATTATTATTTTATATATATAATATTAATCTATTATTTTAATATCATTTTAATAAAAATATTAATTATTAAATTATATTTATTGATACTTTTAATAATATAATATTATACTTTATTGTTATAATTATATTATTATAATATATAATATTATACTTTATTTTATTAATATATAATAAATTATTTATTAATTTCATAAAAATAATATTATTGAATGGTTAAATATTTAATAAATACTCTTTAAAATATAATATAATATAATATTCTTATTTTAATAATTTAAATTTAATATTTTAATAATATTATTACGTTAATAAATAATTAATATAATTAATAATATATTATTATCATTTTAATAAATAAATAAATACAATTTATAATAAATTTATTTTAATAAAATATATTATTTTTAATATTTTTATTTTGTAAAATTATATATATAATATTTCAAAAATAATATTATTACTTTTTAAATACATAATACTATTCATTGTATTTGATGTTTATAATAAATAATTTTTAAAAAATTACCAACCAGTGGAAAATGATTTACACATCTTACAAACATCGTAAAATGATTTCTGCAAAATGTTTTCCATGAAATGTAATTCATTTTACGGAATTCATTTTCTGAAATTTGTTTTATGTAAAACAAATGGACCCTTAGTATTTGTTTACGATGCAAAGGTGAAAAATATATATATCGAGAAAGATTGAGGGAAAGATAAAGAATACTTCGCTCTCTTCAGTTGGGTTTTGGATACTGTTCGAGAAGAGATGATGATGAAATCGATGAAGTCCTCACGACGCGTCATATTAAAATAATCATCTTTATTTATATAATTATAATTTTTGAATAAATATTTTACCTATAAAAAATATATTAAAATTTATTAACAATATACATATACTAAGTTATTTCATATATTTTGGGATCTTTAACGAAATTAAACATTATGCACTAGAATAAAAATATATTCTATTATTTTAAATAATTAATTTAATTTTTATTAATAAATCTTAAAAATTTGCTTAAATTAGGGGGCTTATTGATAAAAGTAAAATGTGATATTGATAAAATTAGAGGCTTCAATTATAAAGGTAAAAGGTGATATTTAAGAAATTAAGGGTCTCAATTATAAAGATAAAAAGTGAGATTGAAAAAACGACAGGTCTCAATTATAAAGATAAAAAGTAATACTACAAAAATTTTAAAATAAACACAAAAGTAAAAAAAAATTGTCCGTTTTCACTAAGAAACCTAAAAATGTTAGATTTAAGAAAATATATTCAAGGATCTTTTCTTTGTTTATCGGTTTTCTCTCGTCAGATAAATTAAAAAAATAGATGTCGACTGAAACAATAAAAACATAAATAAATAATAATAATAAATAATTTAACTTAAAAAAACTCACTTTTGTTGCTCTTGTTATTCGAATACAATGGACGGCCCTTTTCTCCTTTTAAAAAAATTATAAAATAAGAGTGTCTACACCTAAAAAAACCTAAAAGCAAAATAGTTCTAAAATTTTGTCATTTGTGCTAAATACACTAACTAAACAAATATTAACATAATAAAAAGATTCTAAGTTTCCTTAAATAAATAATACAATTTATAAAAATAAATTTGATTACAAATAATCACTAAAATAATTAAAAAATCGTAATAAATTAAAATTATTGTATTAAATTCGTATTTAATTTTTTTACATGTTGTCTTCGTTCAAATAAGCATATCTTGAGTTCATGATATCCAATTGAGGCGTTTCAAAATGTGTTAGAAATCTAACTGAAAGCTGGTTCTATCTCAAGAAGACATCATGCCCTGAAAACGTTAATATTGCTTGAAAATTTGTTGCAAATCGATTGATGTCCTAGACTTCAAAATCAGCTTCAATAAAAATGTTTGTACCTTGAAAAAAATAGATCGGATGAAAATTAGGTGTTATAAAAAACGACGTTGTTTTTTTGTCTTCTACCATGTCGTTACGTCGTTAATTATTTAACGGCAGAGTAACCAAAACATAAGCAATGACAAATTTTAATGAGTAAATTGAAAAAATTAAAAGTATAATGAATAAAATAGGAAAGAAAGTTAAATTCGGTGATGGTAAAACTAAAATTAAAATATTTGAAGTGTAACCTGCCTGAAAACAATTAAACATTGCAGATGATTAATCAAATCAAATTCTTTTGTTTATGTTATTTGAATATCCTATCATGAGCTTGCATGCTTAACGAGTTTATTTCAAAGTACCACGTCTTTTGTACTTCCGGCTCGTTGTTTGAATTAAACTCTCTCTTTTACCCTTATTATTGGCTCAAATCCCAAGCAGAGATGGCGTAATTCAAACGCTCTCCTCGAACACTCCTTCATAAAAGCACCATACAAAAATCCCGCGCCTCCTACAAAAATTCTCCACAGCAAAAATAGCCGATCCCTCTTCCTCTTCGTCTCTTATCCCAACTCAAACTTCTTATTATTGGGAATTTTCTCGTCTGTTTTTCCTGTATTATACTTTTAATTACCGTTTCTTTTTCAATTTGTTTTAGTTTCCTATATTCTTTAGATTATGGAGTGTACTCAACACAAGAAAATGATTGGTTTTGCCTATATGGCTATACCATTGTTGATGTTACTAAAATAGGAACAACTAGATTTATTCGTTCTTTAATAACTATGAAACTGTTCTATATGCATTGGCGTGGTACGTTTTCATATTTATTTAGGACCAGTTGATGTTAAAGGCATCCAGAAAATTGTTTTCGCACATTACTTGATTTTCTTGCTTGGCAACTGTTTGAGACTTGATACATCTGTAGACCTAACATTTCCTCTTTACTATATGTTTCAGTTACTTGAGCAGTCAACAGTGCTTGAGGCTCCTGGATTGTGTTACAAAAACATCCCAGCAATTGTTACGACTGCAGTTAGCCAAATAGTGTGAGTCATTTAGAAGGCATTTGCCTAGAGTTCTGGTCTTGATGTTTCTTACACTTAGCATTCTATTATCTCATTTTACATCCCAAGTACAATAACCTTCAAATTCTGCAAGATGATGTCAGATTCTATATTGTGTGTGCTGTTATTTCATCTAGTATGACTTATTCAAAATGCCAATTTATGTATTTTCTGGTGAAAGACAATTTTAAGTACGTGAATGCTTGTCCTGGGGTAGAAGCTAAAATCTAGGCTGATTTCTTCAAGTTAGGCAATTTTAAGTAAAAGCATATCTGATACTTGGTAACATTATGTTTTCTTTTTAGCATGTGCTGATTATTGTCTATTATGTAAATGAAATGAAATGCTATCTGAACTGAGATCGTAAGATAAGATAATATAGGTCGAAGAACTGGTGGTTAAATATTTCTTGGATTGAGTAAATTTGAAGTGGGGAATCTGACATTTTGGACGGAGTGCTCAGTTGCCCTTGTCCTTATCTGTTGAAAAATCAAACCACATGGGCTGCTAAGCAGCCGGTGGCTTTGAAAGAAAAATTTATTAAAAGCCAATTTTGTTGATTTTTTATATGGTCAAATTACAAACTTTAGTCATTAAACTTTAGTGTATTTACAAGATTAAGTCCTTAAGATTTAGCTATAAATACCCTATCTCATTTGGCTTCAAAACCATCCCAAAGCATTCTAGCTTTCTTCCAATACTAGAGAGAATTTAGAGAGTTTCTTGAGAGTTTTTTCTCATTTTTATCAAGAGAGAATTATCATTGTTTTCTCATTGGTAGATCGAGAGAGGTTGTAATTCCTATTTTTCTCATAGTGAAATTATTCTACCGTTGCCCGTGGTTTTTACCCTATATTATTTAGGGGTTTTTCACGTAAATTTTGTGTCTCTTTTATCTTCGTTTTTATTTTCTCAAATTATTAGTTGCGATTTTATTCTATCCGATAGCCGTCTTCCGCAACAATTGGTATCAGAGCCAGATATGAGTGTGTAATATCTGCTTATTGTCTTTGTGGTTGCCACTAAAAGGTGGATCCTCCAACATAAGAAAGTAAGAAAGTATTACCCATTCTTTGATGGTTCTAGAGAACTATTCAAGATAGTGAAATAGTGAGAGCTATCCGAAATAGAAACTATGGCAACGAAATTTGATATTGAAAAGTTCAATGGGAGAAATTTCTCATTGTGGAAATTGAAGATGAAGGCCATCCTGAGGAAAGACGGTTGTCTAGCAGCTATCAGTGAAAGGCCGGTGAATTTCACAGATGACAACAAATGGATCGAAATGGACGGGAATGCTATGGCAAACTTTCATCTAGCATTAGCAATTGAAGTATTGTCAAGCATCGAGGAGAAGAAGACAACTAAGGAGATACGAGATCATCTCACCAAACTGTACGAGGCCACATCGCTGCACAATAAAATTTTCCTTAAGAGAAAATTGTACACTCTCCGTATGCCAGAATCTAATTCAGTGACGGAGCACTTAAATACACTAAACACTTTATTTTCTCAGCTTACATCCTTAAGCTGTAAAATAGGAGAACAAGAACGTGCTGAACTTCTACTTCAAAGTCTACCGGATTCGTATGATCAACTCATCATTAACTTGACAAACAGTAATGTCACCAGTCTAGTCTTCGATGACGTTGCAGCTGCTGTTCTACAAGAAGAAAATCGGCGCAAGAACAAGGAAGACAGACAAGTAAATCTGCAACAAGCAGAAGCGTTGACAACGATGACAACGATGAGAGGGAGATCAACAGAATGTGGCCAAAGCAGCAGTCACAAACATGGTAGATCAAAGTCGAGAAGCAAGAAGAATTTAAAGTGCTACAAATGTGGAAAGAAGGGTCACTTGAAGAATGATTGTTGGAGTCTGAATAAAAACTCCAATCCACAAGGCAATACCGCAAACACTTCAGATGATGGAGATGCTCTATGTTGTGAAGCGTCAACCACCGTGGAAGGTAGAAAGAGATATGTAGATATATGGCTCATTGATTCGGGAGCAACATATCACATGACCTCAAGAAGAGAATGGTTCCATCATTATGAACCTGTCTCAGGAGGATCTGTCTATAGTTGCAATGATCATGCCTTGGAGATCGTTGGCGTGGGAACCATCAAATTGAAGATGTATGACGGAACAATTAAAAGTTGTTCGAGATGTGCGGCACGTGAAAGACCTGAAGAAAAATTTATTATCCTACGGATTGTTGGATAATAATGCAAGCAAGATTGAAACACGGAAAGGAATCATGAAGGTGTTCCGTAGAGCGCTTATGGTGCTGAAAGGCAAAAAGATAGCAGCAAACTTATACATGCTGAAGGGGGGAGACTTTGTTAGAAGCAGAAGCCTCTGTTGCCTCATGTAGTTCAGATTCTGCAATGCTATGGCATCATAAACTTGGACACATGTCAGAACACGGAATGAAAGTCCTTGTGGAGCAAAAGCTACTTCCAGGCTTAACGAATGTATCACTTACTTTGTGTGAGCATTGCATAACAAGTAAGCAGCACCGGTTGAAATTCAACACATCAAATTCTATAGGCAAAAGTGTTCTAGAATTGGTTCACTCTGACGTATGACAAGCACCAGTTACATCCTTAGGCGGAGCAAAGTTCTTTGTCTCATTTATTGATGACTACTCCAGGAGATGTTGGGTGCACCCTATTAAGAAGAAGTCAGACGTGTTTTCAACTTTCAAAAACTTCAAAGCGCGGGTGGAACTTGATTATGGAAATAAGATCAAGTGTTTCAGAACAGATAATGGAGGGGAATACACAAGTGAAGAATTTGATGACTTTTGTAGAAAATAAGGCATCAAAAGACATTTCACAGTGGCAAACACTCCTCAACAAAATGGAGTGGCAGAGCGGATGAACAGAACCATGTTAGAAAGAACAAGAGCAATGTTGAGGGATGCAGGCCTAGAAAAATCATTCTGGGCAGAAGTAGTTAATACCGCCTGTTATTTGGTGAATCGAGCTCCATCAACTGCAATAGAGCTGAAGACACCAATGGGAGATGTGGACTGGAAAACCAGCTGATTATTCAAACCTCCATGTATTTGGAAGTATAGTGTACGTGATGTACAACTCCCAAGAAATTTCAAAGTTTGATCCAAAATCCAGGAAATGCAAATTCTTAGGGTATGCTGATGGAGTAAAGGGGTATCGCTTGTGGGATCCCACTGGCCGCAAAGTGATCATCAGTAGAGATGTTATCTTTGTAGAAGATAAAATACAAAGAAAATAAGACGATGATAGCGCTGAAAAGTCAGATATTACTCAGATACATGTAGAAAAAGAGTTTGAACAAGGAGATTCTTCTGAAGTAGAACCAGCACATGATGAACAAGAACCAGAGAGTTCTGAAGCTCCAACAACTCGTCAATCAGATCGTGTGAGAAGACGTCCCAATTGGCACTCAGATTATGTTATAGAATGTAATATTGCATACTGCCTTTTAATAGATGACGGTGAGCCATCAACATACCAGGAGGCAATAAACAACTCAGATGCTTCACTGTGGATGATGGCGATTCAATAAGAAATTGAAGCCCTTCATAAAAATAATACATGGGACCTTGTGCCACTACCACAAGGAATGAAGCCAATTGGTAACAAATGGGTCTTCAAAATCAAGCGAAATGGTGACGATCAAGTTGAGAGGTATCGTGCAAGATTGGTGGTCAAATGATATGCTCAAAAAGAAGGTATTGATTTCAATAAAAATATTTTCTCCTGTGGTTTGACTAACAACAGTTCGAGTAGTTTTGGCAATGTGTGCAACATTGAACTTACATCTAGAGCACCCAGTTGTTAAAACAGCTTTTCTTCATGGAAATCTTGAAGAAGATATTTACATGCTCCAGCCTGAAGGTTTTGAAGAAAAAGAAAATAAGAACTTGGTTTGCAGGTTGAACAAATCTCTGTATGGTCTAAAGCAGGCGCCGAGGTGTTGGTATAAGAGATTTGATTCCTTCATTATGTGCCTTGGATACAACAGACTTAATGCAGACCCTTGTGCTTATTTCAAGAGGTCTGGTGATAACGATTTTGTTATATTGTTGTTGTATGTGGATAACATGCTGGTTGCAGGACCCAACAAAGATCATATTGAAGAATTGAAGGCACAACTGGCTAGGGAATTTGAAATGAAGGACTTGGGATCATCAAGCAAGATTCTAGGGATGCAAATTCACCGAGACATAAGTAATAGGAAGATTTAGCTTTCACAAAAGAATTACTTGAAGAAGATCTTGTCACGATTCAGCATGCAAGATTGTAAGACAATTTCTACCCCTCTTCCTATTAACTTCAAATTATCCTCCAGTATGAGTCCTAGAAGTGAAGAAGAGAGGATGGAGATGTCTCGAGTACCGTATGCATCAGCAGTGAGAAGTTTGATGTTCGTTATGATATGCACAAGACCAGACATTGCACAAGCAGTGAGAGTGGTTAGTCGGTACATGGCGAATCCAGGCAAAGAGCATTGAAATACAGTAAAGAGGATCAGGAGATACATCAAAGGGACCTCAAATGTTGCATTATATTACGGAAGATCAAACTTACTAATTAATGGGTATGTAGATTCTGACTATGCAGGGGATTTGGATTAAAGCAAATCTACTACATGATATGTGTTCAAAGTTGCTGGTGGAGCTGTAAGCTGGGTTTCAAAATTACAGTCAATTGTGGCTACATCCACAACAAAAGCAGAATATGTAGCAGCTACACAAGCCAGTAAAGAAGCAATTTGGTTGAATATGCTATTGGAGGAGCTTGGGCACAATCAAGAGTATGTCTCTCTGTTTTATGACAGTCAAAGCGCCTTGCATCTAGCAAGGAATCCAACATTTCATTCAAGGACAAAGAACATACGAGTTCAGTACCATTTCATTCGTGAAAAGGTAGAAGAATGAACAGTAGATATGCAGAAAATTCATACCAAAGACAACATAGAGGATTTCATGAAAAAGGCAATCAACGCTAATAAATTTACCTGGTGTCGATCCTCTTGTGGCCTGTCAGAGACGTAAGCAACATGATGGTACAAGGTAGAAAGAATGGTGTGAAGATATGATTGTTCCAATCAAATCTTCAAGTGGGAGATTGTTGAAAAATCAAACTACATGGGCTGCTAAGCAGCCGGTGGCTTTGAAAAAAAAAATTATTAAAAGCCAATTTTGTTGATTTTTTATATGGTGAAATTACAAACTTTAGTCATTAAACTTTAGTGTATTTACAAGATTAAGTCCTTAAGATTTAGCTATAAATACCCTATCTCATTTGGCTTCAAAACCATCCCAAAGCATTCTAGCTTTCTTCCAATACTGGAGAGAATTTAGAGAGTTTCTTGAGAGTTGTTTTCTCCTTTTTATCAAAAGAGAATTATCATTGTTTTCTCCTTGGTAGATCGAGAGAGGTTGTAATTCCTATTTTTCTCATAGTAAAATTCTTCTACCGTTGCCCGTGGTTTTTACCCTATATTATTTAGGGGTTTTTCACGTAAATTTTGTGTCTTTTTTATCTTCATTTTTATTTTCTCAAATTATTAGTTGCGATTTTACTCTATCCGATAGCCGTCTTCTGCAATATTATCTTCTATATCATGAGCTTTTCAGTCTGACTGGTCTGCCCCTATATCAGACTTGATTTCTCTTATATGCATAACAAAAAGTTTTGCTTTATTGTTATCAGGCTGTAATATGTTTCTTGGTTAATTCTTTCTTAAATTTTCCTCTCGCAATTTTCTGGGATGTGGTCATGGAACTTGGAAGCTTAGGCTTAGCTTTGTGCTTGACGTGTTGTTAGGAAACCGCAAGTTAGATATGATACTAGTTCCCGTGTCTCTCAGTTTCTTCCTTCTCTCTAAGGAAGCAATGATTAACATTTGGATGTGCTTATATGTAGAAAAATAAATGTCTGAAGGTGTATAGTCGTGCTGTTAATCCATTTATTAGTTGGACTGAGCATGGTTTTTTACATAAATGGTCTAACAGCATATTGAAAATTGTTCCATACAAATGCTTCATTGTAGCCTACCCCTCTTCTTTTTGGTTAATTTTCTTATTTATGCATAGGCTGTTTCTAAGGGACGGCAAGGAAGAGAAGCGCAGAATATTGTCAAGGTAACAACTTTTCTTGTGTTTTCAGTTTTTGTTCAGTTCTTTTAAATTGATAACTTATTTCTTAATGAATATCCATGCAGGTCTATCTTGCAAACATACGTCTCAAGGAAGTAGGAACAGATGTTCTTATCACTGCATATGAACCTATCTTGATAAAGTAAGTGTCAAAGATTCACTGCACCCGTTCTTTCTTTCTCAATAAGAAAATAAAGGGGTATCATTTTGTATAACACCGTTGTTATTTCTTATTATGGTTGCAGTCCTTTGAGCGAAAGCACTAGTGCAGTTGGTGCAGGATTACCTACTCCTGCTGCACAATCTGGATTCATGCCGACGGTCCAAGTCTTTAAGCTAGTCGTTACAAACTTCAAAGTAAGTGACTGGGGCCTTTTCGGCCCTACGGTTTGAGATGTGCTAAAGGCCACTCAACGGCAAGTAAATAGGTCCCTTTTCTTTTTCTCCTGAAACAATATTTGATATTTATATGCCTTGGCTATTCTTTGGTATCGATGTTTTAGTCCATGTACCTTTTTGTGATATCTTTTTAGAACCTTTATTCATGTTTGTCATGTATTGATTTGTGTTGATCTTTGTGCGCTGGTTTTCCATTCAATAGTGATTTTGAAAGAGCTCAAATGAAGTATTTCGTTTAGGGATGGGTACAGCGAGTCGGTTTTGTGGTTGGCCCGATTTTGATTTGCAAATGAAAGGCTTCCACCTGTCCCGTCCCTGTTCGATTTTGCCTCAAATCTTAGGGTAGAAACCTGTCCCGACATGAATAATTTTTATTTTTACTTGATAAAACAGAGAGAGAATTAAATATATATGAAAGTACTATAGCAGATATCTTAAAATATAGAGTGAGGGCTATAATATAACCATCCATCTTTACTTTTATTTTATTTTTTTAATTTTAAATAAGAATATATGTCTTTACATTATGATTTTCTATGTTCTGATGATATGCTTTTTATTTGTTTATGTGACACTCTCCTTTTAATTTTTAATATGTTATTCGCATATATCTACGTTAAGGTTTTTATGAGAGCATCAACACGACCGCAGATGTAAGCGAATAACGTATTAAAAATTAAAAGGAGAGTATCACATTAACAAATAAAAAGCATAACCTCCGTAGTAATAATGGATGGCCTTTATTTCAATTTTGAATGCATAACCTCCGTCTTGAAGACATTTTTATTTGGAATGTACATGAATAAAGCTCCCCAAGGAAAAGATAATAATTAATAGTACCTTGATGAATATAGGTGAGTTTCGAAACTTTTGAGTCAGTCACGTGACAGTCGCCTAGTTTGAAATTTGGAGGTTAAGTGGGTCCATTCATGTGTTATTAATATGTATACATATATAATTGTATGATATGATATATCACTATATACACTATAGATTATTATCTTAGGGCTCTAAATATAATCATGATTCATTAATGTTGTTTAAAAAAATTGTTATTATTCTTAAAAGATTATTGTTCAAGTATCAACAACTGCAATATAATAATTGAGTGTCCATTATTAAATAATTAGATATATTTAAAAAAATATATTAATTTATAATCACTTTAATTTAATAAAAAAATTAAAAAATTAGAGATTTGGCTTTTTAAGATTTTGCTTAACAAGAATGTGCGGCCTAAAGCTAAACTAGGTAGCCCGCAATTACATTCACCCGTACCATAACGGAAATCCCAAAAGCAACAGTGGCCGAATAGTCATGCACGATGTGACCCAACTTATTGTTTATTTTTATAATGTTCTATAGTATTTGTTAGTTGACATCAGCCCTAAGATTTTGGAGGGAAGAAGGTGCCACGTGGTGTGTCTTTGATGTGGATGACGTCATCCATTAAGTTTAAGAAGATCCCCGAGTGTCGAGAGTGATGTGGCGTTGTCAGCCCACCCACTAACTTTGTCAGAGGGACTGGAGAATGACATTTCACTACGTGAGCTGGAATGTGGGTCCCCCTATTGATATAGTAACACACAGTAGAAAAAAAACACAGTTTTCTAAATAATTTATACGGATGGTATCGGTTTGAGATCTACACATGCAGACATATCGGATTTTTTAAGGGTAAAAAATATAAATTGTATCATACTAAAAGATATTATTTTATTAATTTTTTTTATTAAAAGTTATAAAATTATCTTTTTATTATAGATGGTTGTTTTGTTGACTCCCTCAACTATTAAAAGTTACAAAGTGGTCACCCAACTATTCATTATGTTTCAGACTCGTCATTTTTCGTTAAAAATTTGATGATTGTTTAAGTCAGATGTTAACATGATGACTGAGATATGATAGTTGTTTGAGATTTTAGAATCAAATTTTATCATATCATAGTCAACAAATTAACGTTCGACTCGTAATATCGTCCATTTTTAACGGAAAATGACGAGTTTAAACATAATGAATAGTCGAGTAACTATTTTGTAACTTTTAATAGGCGATGAACTTAATAAAGCAATACCCTATAGTCGAGGGGTCATTTGTGTTTTTTACTCTCTTTTTATTGTTTCGATTTTGATTTAAATATGGAAAAAAAATTATTATCACTCTAATTTCGACTTTTTCTTTCCTATTTGTTTTACAATTTATATTCAAAATTTGAGTATTGTTGTCACTAATATTTAAACTTTGACAACTATACATGATATGATTCTTATCTGAATGGACACTTGAGATCATAATTGGTAAATAAGTTGCCAACATGGAAAATGGAAGACAAAATTGATTTACTATCGGGTTGGTTCAAGTGGTAATGTAACATCCTCAATACCGAGTTAGTGACTAAATTGGAAAGTTTCAGATTTTGGTGATTAAAATAGAATGAATGAATAGTATAAAGATTTATATGTAAATGATTGTGTAGGATTGAATTGAAAGGAAGAAGGAATAGAAGGGCAAAAGAGTTATTTGCAAGAAAAATTAATTAAAGAATGGATAAGGATATATATGAGTACAAGTGGAATGAAAAGAAGAGAACCAAAGCCTTCCAGAGTTATCTTCTTCTTCTTTCTTCCTTGTACGTGTGAACCAAAGAAAAGGTAAGATTTCTGATTATTGAGTTTCTTGTTAAATTTAATATTGGGTTTTGATTATTAGATGATAACTAAGCTTAAGGAAAGCTTAAGTTATCTTAACATCAAAGGATGATTGAGTTAGGAGAGATTTAAGATTTGAAGTTCTTAAATAAAATCTTGGAATAGAGTTCATAACTAGAATTGAAAGTTATATTTGACTTGTCATCAATCTAGTTAAGATATACGAAGTGTTAAAAACGGAATTCAAACATGTTGATTTATTAATGTAATTCTTGAATTACATATGAAGGATAGGATTTTAAGGTTTAAGATGAAATAAATGAGTATAAATTGGTTTAAGGATGTGTACTAGAGTTAAGAATGAAAAAGGGGATTAAACATGAAGGATTTAATCCAAAATGAATGGATTTTCGGGTTCAAAAAGAGGTTATGGGCAGAGTGCATCGATGCACATTCAAAGTACATCGATGCATCAAGGTTCAAACCCAGAAATTGTTTGAATGTGCACCGATGCATTGGTAGTGCATCGATGCACTCTTTTAAAATAAAGACATCGAATGCAATTTGTGCATCGATGCATAAGTAGTGCATCGATGCATCCCATTAATAGTGAAACATCGAATGCAATCGGTGCATTTTTGATGCATAAGGAGTGCATTGATGCATCCCAGCAATAATACTACATCGAATACCTTTTATGCACCGATGCATCAGTAGTGCATCGATGCATACCTTCATTAAAAGATGAAATTGACTTTTCTCTTAGTCTAAAGAGTGAATCATTAGAGTATATTAGTTATAATACTGATATAGATCCATGTGCGATTATGTAGATACTAAAAGTAAGCTTATTCCGGAACGATCAAAGGATTAGAATCGAATCAAAGCAAAGCTAAGGTAAGTGCATACTATATGTATATTATAATGGAATAAGACTTATGATAAGTCTAATCCCTATGTTGATTTTTATAATATAATAGTTGTGAACATGCATACATGATAATTGTTGTGATACATGCATAAGACATATATACGTTCATGTGATATGATATGTGATATGACATGTGATATGATAACATGATATGAAGTGACATGAGCTACATGATCACAAGAGAAATGACATGAGCTACATGATCACAAGAGAAATGACATGAGTACATGAACATATGAAAAACAAGAATAATGCACATAGTATACGATATGAGAATTATAGGTGTAATTGGCATGCCAAGAGTCGAGGGTATAATAGTCCTTCGGGACGTAGTCCTTCGGGATGTAGTCCTTCGGGACGTAGTCCTTCGGGATGTAGGAGTCCTACGGGACGAATACTGAACTAAGGTTCGGTGCCCCATGAGGGAATAGATACGAGCTGTGGTGACAGCATTAGTGCACAACCTCAATGCACTCACATACCTCTAATCTCAATAATATACATGGTCAATGCAATTGAAATACCGATTTACAGTGAAAGTGATACAAGAAGGTAAATTTCGTATGTGCATTATATGTTATCGTGCGATAGATACATGCATATTGAAATGTCATGATCCAATTGTAAGTATGAACATTCATAAGTTTATTGTTGCATATTCATTTATTGCCTCACTAAGTCTATGACTTAGCGTGTAAGTGATTTACACGTAGGTACCAAGAATCAGGAAAAGTGGAAATAGAAGTAGCATGGACAGCAATACTACTAAGAGATCAGATCAGAAGTAATTGACAAAGTATGTACTTGGTTATGTATAGAGTGTTGGTATGTAATAAGTGTTAATTACGAATACTCTGATCTATTTTGTATTTTATGGTCTTATGTAAATTAAAGTATTTCGTTTTAATGAAAGTTTTAAAAATTCCCGGGATTTTCTATAAGAGTCAAGGTTTTGAAAAGTCAATGTGACACCTCAGACTTGTATTCGGGTCAGATATGAGTTAAGGGTGTTACAGGTAAGCAGCTTGATATCGTTTAAATAAGATATCATATTTGAGTCCTAGTGTATGCACAAAATTCTAGTTCGAATACTCACACACCGAAATCAGATGTGCGACCTAAATTGATCCACATTAAACAGGATAAAGCCTTAAAATTAGAGGGTAAAAAAAAGAGACAATTGATCTACTAAATAGGATGTGCAATTCCTCTTAAGGGCTAAACCTCAACTTAACTGCCTTTTCTTGTTCGGTCTCCATCATGTGGCTTGGCTTCGTTGTACTTTGCGACCCATATTTAAACCACTTTTGTTTATTAATTACGCTAAACTACACTGATGGGTCGCAAAGTACGACGAAGCCAAGCCACATGATGGAGACCGAATGACCTATCATCCTAAAGGATGTCATCTGTGTCCCGAAGGACCTGTCATCCCGAATGATGTAATCTGTGTCCCGTAGGAC